GCTAGGAGCCATCGGGATTCTTGGCAGTGTATTCATGTTGGTTGAGTCTTACACATTAATCAGTGCCTCTAGTCCCAACTACTTGGGAGGATATGGCAAGAGTTCAAAGCCAGCCTTGTTTTAAAAAGCAAGCAGGATGAGCAGCTAGTTTGGTGCTAAGCCTGAAGACTGGAGCCCAATCTCTATGACAGCACATGGTGGAAAGAGAAACGACTTCCCCTGGATTGTTCTCTGATTTCCATATGCATGCATGGTGTAAATCAGCCTACAAAGATATTTTTTTAAAGGCTTTTGTATTTTGTTTTTAGATAACTAGCAATTTGGGGAGAGTTCCATTTGAAACACCTCACACTACAGGCAGAGAAGAGTTAGGCCACAGACATTAGGGCTGAGCACGGATGGAGCAATGGAGATCACATGGAAGCATGCACAGGGACCTGGATTGGAGCCCAGTCAATGCATAAAATCTGTGGATGACTTTGGTTAATTGGTCGTTGGGTCTATGGAAGAAAGGGCCGGGCTGATGTTTGGCTTAAGTCAAGTTATAGTAATTAGGATCAGTGTCAGGATGAAAGGCTCTTGTAACATTTAAAAGTATGTACCACATAAAAACTCTTGATGCTTAGGGAAAAGATCCTCACTAACTGTCATTAGGAAAAAAGTAGCAATTGGTCAGGAGAGATGGCTCAGTGGAGAAGAGTATTTGATGCTCTTACAGAGGACCCAGTTCAGTTCCCAGCACCCATGTGGCATTGCACAACCAGCTCCTGGAGATCCAGCAAGCCATTTTTGTCCCCTGTGGGAACTGCGCTAATGTGTAAACGTCTGTACACTTCTGTACAGTTAAACAGTAAGAATTTAAAAGGTAGCTGTTGATAATGAAAAGGTGAGACGCACCGGGCTGTGGGGCCATCTTCAATCCCAGTGCACAGGAGCCAGCCTGGTCTATAGCCAGGCTCCACAAAGAAACTCGGAACACCGAAAAGGAGGAAGGAAAAAAAAGAGGTGAGACATAAGTCACCAGTAAAAGGTTTGTAGCTTAGCAGTGCTGACATGTCCTATGTACATGCATGTAAAAACGTGGTCTGGGGTTCCAGACTGTGTCTCATATTGAGCTAAGTGGAATACCGTCCCTCAGAGCCCTGCAGCTGTTCCTGTTACACAAGTGACACATGATTTTATTTGTAATGAATCAGTTGCCAGCATGCAGAAATTGAAGAACAGAGGTAGACTACCTCGGTTCACAAATTAGGTCTAGAATGCCACATAACAATTCCTGTACTGATTTTCTGTGTATTCTGTATATTTCTGTGTAGGCATAGGACACTTAACCTATTTCATTCCATACACATGTACACACATTATGTTCACTATTTCTCTGCAGTATTTGAAGCTGTGATTTTAGACCTCTTGATAGGCTATTTCATATACTCACAGGATCTTGTGGACATTTAGCACAAGTGGACATTGCTGTGGTCTCCGCTTACTTTGTTCATAAACTTCTTTAGATGCTGTCCATTCCAACTGGATAGGAATTGTTTATTCCCTTAGCCTCAACCATAATAGCACCTGAGGTCAGTAGAGGTGTTGGTAAAATGTTTTAGGAACAGAGATTGGAAGCTTGCAGAAGCATTTCCAAAGCTCCTGGTCATCACAGAAGCCTCCTTAGATTTGCTCCCATGTAATGAATTGAAGGTGGCTACCAAAATCACTGCTTATGGGCTGTGTTGTATATGAAATTCAGATGGGACTTTTCACCCCTAACTACCCCTGCTGAAAATGAAACCCGCACCAATGTCACCAGAAATGATTTCCCTGAGAGATGGGAAAACTCTAGGGGGATGAGACAGTTTGTATTTTAGAGAGGTCGTTATTCTGCAGAACCAAGTGGGAGAAGTCCAGAATGAAAAGCAAGTAGACTTCAGGTGGGTAAGAGGTAGAAACAGTGATATGAAAGGTCAGGACAAAGGCTGGGTAGAAGATAAAATCAGTACAATATTAAGTTCACAGTAAGCCAAGGTTAGGCAGGGGTGGCGCACGCCTTTAATCCCAGCACTCAGGAGCCTGAGCCAGGCAGATCTCTGTGAGTTCAAGAGACCAGACTGGTCTGAAAGAAAAGTAAGCCAGGTGGTGGTGTTAGATGCCTTGAATCAAAGCACTTGGATAAAAAAGACGGTGGGTCTGAGTTCCAGAGTGGTACCTGTCTTAAAAATTGAGTTGATGATGAAGTGATATCTTCTACAGGCAAAAATGATTATGAGCTTGAGGTCAAACTGGACTGCACACTGAGACTGTCCCCAAAACTTAACCACGAAGGAAGGAGGCCTAGAGGGCATTGAAGAACCTGCTCCCCTAGACAAAGAGAAGTGGGTTGTGGACCTGCAGAGTTACCAGGACACACAAGTGAGACCTGGGGAAGTTAGTGAGAGCAGTTGTGTCCATGAGGCAGAAAAATTTGACATGTGAAGTTTTAAAGTTTTATTATGCTTGATTTTTGTGTATTCCATTAATATGGTTTATTGGGTCTAAATCTTCTCAAAATTTGCTGTTAACAAATAGGATGGCTGCCCTTGAAATCCCTAGCCCAGACCAGCTATTTTTTTGTAATCTGCCTCAGCCTTCCAGATAGCTGGGATTACAGTCCTGTGCCAGCAGGTCCAGCTGCTTACCTCTTAGTCTCTTGTCTCCCTCCCCAGTAGCCTGATGAGTGGCAAAGATTGTGGAATTGGATAAGTAAGTCTAGGGTTCATGCAGAATAATGGCTGAGTTTACATGCAAGGCCAGTAGAGCTATTCATATTAAAAAAATCTTCAAAGTCGGTGTGTTGTGCACCCCAGAGTGGACATGCTGGATAGGCCTGCCTGCTGGCAAGCATCCTGCCCCATCACAGTTTGTATTGGTGCCTGTTTCATTACTCCATGTAAAAGAATAGTCCACATCATGTTTAGATTCCATTAGAGCTACACTTGGACATTATTAAATGCATATGGCTTAATGACACCTGCAAATTTTTTACTCATAGCTTGATTTTCATGTTGTCTGCAAAGATGCTATTGTAGGTAAATGATAAGAAAAGCTTAAATACTAAGTATTTTCCAGTTCTTTTGACATTTTTAGTGAGAATAATTTAAAGATTTATTTTTATTTCGTGTATGAGTTTTACCTGCAGGTGCCTGGTGCCAGGCATACAGAAGAGGATCCCCTGGAACTAGAGCTCCCTGTGGGAGCTGGCACCTGACCCAGTCCTTTGCCAGAGCAACGAGTGCTCTTAACCCTGACTTCTCTCCAGCCCCTCCTGCCTTTTATCATCGTGGCTGATGATGAAATAGTGACTGACCTCTTGGGGATGACAGTGATCTACTTGAAAATTGAACTTTTAAAGAAAATAATGCAGCTCTTTACCTAGTTCATCGGTGTCCACTATTAACTCGAGCACTGAGAGGGACAGTCAGGAGGAGCTTAAGTTCCAGGCCAGCCTGGCTCACAGAGTGGAACGTTGTCTTAAAAAGCAAAATTAAATTAACAACAACAACAAAAACATGCAGTCAAACCCTAATTACACTCTGATGGTTTTCTGTGACTGTGATTTTACTTTGACATGCTTCAGAAACTACATTGGTGGTGTTGGGCTTTGTTTTTGAAATGCCTTGTAGAGCTGGCAATGTGTAGCCTTGTAAGCCCAGCTGTTCCAGAAGTCGAAGCAGGAGGATCACTGGTTCAATCCTGCCTGTGCTTCTGAGCTAGTTCAGGGTTATTTGGCAATGTAGACCTTCTCTCCAGAAAGAGAAGAACAAGCATGATGTGATAGACTTGAGGCCCTAGGAGCAACCTCTGGTGGACACCTCAGGAGGCTGGGGCAGGCCAGTTGCCTCAAATTCATCCCTGGCCTGATTTATATACTGAGTTCTAGACTAGGCAGCACCATATACCAAGCCATGTCTCAAAAACAAAAATGGAGAACTCTGTAGAGTCTGGGGGTGGAGACAAGGCTGAGGAGTTTGGAGCCTCGCTCCCTGCTGGGATTTCCCTCACAACTGCCTTCACTCGTGGCAGCTGTGTGGTTTTAAAGTTTGTGCTAGAGTTTGCTATTTTTCAAGCCTGATGACCCGAAGCTGTTTATCTGCTGAGGCGGTGCACACATACAATTACAGCACTTGGGAGTTCAAGGCAGGGAGATGAGGAGTTAAGAGTCATCTTCAACTGCATAGTGTAAAGCCAGCCTGGATACATTAGGATCTGTCTTAGAAAACAAAAGTTTAAAATCATATTTGATGAAATCATCAATTTGTAAATTATTAGATTTACATCAGTTGTTGCCCTGTAGCCTTCAATGGTAATGAGGGGCTGAGAAAGATGACTTAGTTAAGAACTCTGGCTGCGCTTCCAGAGCCCGGTGTTCAAGCCCAGTCCTGAGACGGCGGCTCACTACCCTTTCTAACTAACTCCAGGCACAAGCACAGATGTGATGCAAGGACACACGTGCGGACAAAACCCTGTGCACAGAGAAGCTTCATTAAAAGTATTAAAGGGGAATTTCACGAGAAAATAGCCTTCCCTACTCTTACTGCTTTAGTAGCCTGTATTGTGTCTGTTGCGATAATTGGTTGTGAGCCCTGGTCTCCATAGGCTCTCTTGTCATATTTGCTAATAAGAGTCCACAACCTTACAAAACCTACAGATCTCCCAACATGTATTTCTTAGGAAAGAATTCCTGCTGTTGAGGAGGGAACATTCTTACTGGCTAAGAAATGGTAGACAGCAGGAAATGTCATCTTTTCTTTAGGTTACTTTATAGCAAGAATTTTTCAGTGTTTACCTTTGAATACCCTTGAGGTTTTTACTGTTCACATGTGATTTGAATAACAGCCTCCATAGTAGTGGGATGTGTATTTATCTGTTTTTTTTGTTTGTTTGTTTTTTTGTTTTTCGAGACAGGGTTTCTCTGTGGCTTTGGAGGCTGTCCTGGAACTGGCTCTGTATACCAGGCTGGCCTCGAACTCACAGAGATCTGCCTGCCTCTGCCTCCCAAGTGTTGGGATTGAAGGCGTGTGCCGCCACCACCCGGCCTATACAGGTTTTCTTTAGTTATTTTCTTATACACTGAGTGTAATGTAATAGATGGTGGGAAAGAGGTATCATTTTCTACCACTCACAGACACAGAAGAGAATGATGCATTGGTTGAGAGTGGTTCTTTTCCTTGAAATGTTCTTGCAGTCATAGGAGTATGCATGGTACTGTGTATCTAGTATATAAAAATGCCTTTGTTTAATCTTTTGGTGTGCTTAGAGATGCCAGGAGAGTCATTTTATTTGATTTATGGGACACTTAAGAAGTTGATAAGGTTTTACAACAAACCATACTTTCTGTGAATCACTAAGTTACCTAGCAGTTCTGAGAGTTCCCAGTGAGGGCTTGCATAACTTTGTAAGCCTTTCTGCATGGATATTCCATCTAGATCTGAGTTTGTAAGCCTTTCTGCATGGATATTCCATCTAGATCTGAGTTTGGGGCACTTTCTTACATCAGCGGCATTCAAAGCAGTACTGGTACAGGTAGAGTTCTAGTATTCTGTGGTTATATACTTCTAACTCAAAGCTGACCCTTTCATACTCGTATTTTCTTTCTCCCTCCATATCTACACACACACACACATACATACACACACACACACACACACACACACACACACACACACACACACACACTCTACCTAAATCTCTGGAAGAAAAAATAAGGGCAAAATTCCTAAGAAATTTCTAGTAAACGGCATAAACTTTTAAAGGGGAAAAAAAAAAAACCGAGGGTGGAGGATGGCCTATGACTTTAATCTCAGCACTTGGGAGGAGGTAGAGGCAGGCTCTGTGAGTTTGAGGCCAGGCTGGTGTACAGAGTGAGTTGTAACACAGCCAGGACTACACAGAGAAACCCTGTCCAAAAAACAAAACCAACTGAACTTAAGTCTGATAATTGTGATATTACATTGCTATTGTGTCCTACTTTATTCATGTTTCCAGTGTTATGGAAACATTTTGCAAGGATCAGGTAACTGCAATTACATGTTTATGCTATATGGAGAACATTAAAGTATTCTAAGTGGAGCATGATAGCTGTAGCCAACCTTAGTACAAGTACCGAAAGTTTTTGTTGATTCAGCAAATGTGAATATTATATGATTCTGTCATTTTAAAAAATGTGAATGGGTGCTTTTCCTGCATGTATTGTCAGTGCTCATGTGCCTGGTGCCTACAGAGGCCAGCCCGCATTGAATCCCCTGGAACTGGAGTTTACAGTCACTCGTATTCACACCCCAATCTTCTGCTGCTCCCAACCTCAGCCATCTGGGACCTGTAATCTGGGAAAGAGGGCTGTGATGATTTTTCAGAACTGTTTTTCTGTGTAGCTCTTGCTGTCCTGGAACTCACTTTGGAGCCCAGGCTGGCCTTGAATTCACAGAGAGCTTCCTGCGTCTGCCTCCCAAGTGCTGGGATTGGTTTTGTGGATAAAGGCACGTGCTGCTGACCCTGCCCACCTGAGTTTGATCTCCAGCACTGACATGGTGGAAGAGAGTGTCCTTTCAGAGCTTGCCTTCTGACCTATGCTATGGCATGCGTACATACACAAAATAATATAGATAAAATTTTCAATTGTCAGCAGAGTTGAGTTTAGTGCTAATCTGAATCTTCATTCAGCCAGTGTTAAGGAAATAGGGATTATTTTGGATCAGAGAAATTACCCTCTGAATAAAAATAAGTTTTCAAAATAGAACTAGTCCATCCAGCACAAAGTGGTAAGTGGTATATTTTTTGGGGGGGGGGGGGCGTTGTTCGAGGCAGGGTTTCTCTGTATTGCTTTGGGGGCTGTCCTAGAAGCAATCCGTAGACCAGACTGGCCTTGAACTCAGGAGATCCTCTTGCCTCTGCCTCCTGAGTGCTGGGATTAAAGGCGTGCGCCACCAACACCCAGCTTCAAAGTGGTATCTTACTGAAGCCTTGGTTACTCTTAGCAAATTTTTTAAGAGACCAGCTACAAAGTCTGATTTTTTTTTAAAGGGCTAAATCTTATTTTTCTATTTCTAGGTTGCTAAGATAACATGAAACTGCTGAAAGTCCAGCCACTGGTCTAATACAGAAGAACGTAAAAGCCAGGATGCTGGCTCACACTGCTGCGTTATGTCAGTCGACTCCTGTTTAGAAGGGCACGGCCTCGTGGGCTGTGCTTACCACAGTTGACATAGGTAATATCCCAGTGTTGGTGTTGTCTGGTCTGAGACAGTCTTACTGTGTAACCTACTATGTAGTCCAAACTGGTCCTGAACTTTTTTCTTAAATTTCTGTGTGTGTTTTGCTTGCATAATGTGTGTGCACCACATGTGCCTGGTGCCTACAGATGCCAGAAGCGGGCATAGGATTCTGTGAAACTGGAGTTGCAGGCAGTTGTGAGCTGGGCATCAGACCTGGGCTTTCGGGGAACAGCCAATCTCCTACCAGAGCATTCTTTTCATCTCATAGTCCCTTTGCCTCAGCCAGGAGAGTGCTGGGGTAACAGGCACACAGAACTCATTGCCCCCCCCCCCCCCACGCCCTGGTTTTCAAGACACAGTTTCTCTTCCTTTTTTGGTTGGTAGTCCTCACTGACCTGGGAACTCTGAGGCCACTGTGGCTTCGAGTTCATCTGCTCCTGCCTACTAGTGCTAGAATTAAAGGTAATGTGCTACACCACCAGGCTACCTGTGTCCCTGAGGCAATGCTTGCATTGTCCTGTCTGTGAGGAGGATGATGTTCTATATATATATATATTTTTGGTTTTTCGAGACAGGGTTTCTCTGTGGCTTTGGAGGCTGTCCTGGAACTCGCTTGGTAGTCCAGGCTGGTCTGGAACTTACAGAGATCCGCCTGCCTCTGCTTCCCGAGTGCTGGGATTAATGGCGTGCGCCACCAACGCCCGGCTGATGTTCTATATTCTTGACTGCTTTCTTGCATTCTTCCAAATATAATGTGTGTAATTTTGAGCTATACTGGAATGTGAGAAGTGACATCCTAATAAGTGTGTTTTCCAAGACTGCCAGGGCTGCATGTAGGGAGACCCTGTTTCAAAGAAATGAAGGAAGGAAGGGTGGGTTGGTGGATGGGTGTCTTTACCTTCCAGTTTGGAAATCAGTACACATATAATACATACATATGGTTTTTTTTTGTTTGTTTTCGAGACAGGGTTACTCTGTGACTTTGGAGGCTTTTCTGGAACTAGCTCTTGTAGACCAGGCTGGTCTCCAACTCACTGAGTTCTGCCTGCCTCTGCCTCCCGGGTGCTGGGATTAAAGGCGTGCGCCACCACCACCAGGCTCCATACATGCGTTTTCTTCTTTGGGTTGAAGATTTTCTCTAAGTTGCTGCCTATGATGATACTCTTACCATGGCCCCACGCTGCCTCATCTCACTCATACATCAAGCTGGGTTAGTCCATTTTGAATACTTGAAACAGTTGCCTGTCCAGCATTTCCTGTGATAACAATATTGGCTCTCTTTAACATCTTCTGCATTGCCACTCCAAAATCATCTGTCTTTGATCTTGGGGATTAGGTGCTAGATCTGTGTCATCAGACTGAGTCCAGACTGCAGGTTTAATCCACAAATAGGGCCAGAACCTCTCATTGCCAGACAGAAAGGCACACTTCAGGAACACTGCTCCAATGTTTCCATAGCATTGTGCGTTCATGCATGAGGTCTAGGGGAGGTAGAAGCCTTTTTTTTCATGAGCCGATTCAGACACAGGGATGGATTTGTCTGAAGACCCACACCTGTTTGCAGACTTGCTGCTCAGGTATGCCTACAAAAGTTGTGTAACATGTATGTTTGGGATACTGTTTAGAAATGAATCATAAATTTTGTTATGCCAACATCAACCTTTTTTATAGAGCCTGGTGTTGGGGGTGGGAGGCAGAGGCAGGCAGATCTCTGTGAGTTCCAGACCAGCCTGGTCTACAGAGCGAGTTCCAGGACAGCCTCCAAAGCTAAATACAGAAAAACCAAAAAGGAGGGGGCAGGCGGAGAGGGAGAGAAAGGAAGATTTTTATAAAAATACTTAACATTAGGATCATGTCAGAAGCCCTGATTGTATTTTCTGGTGTCCTGTTCTGGCTGATTCAGGTGCTGTTGTCCAGCAGGGAGGGTGCTGCCTGAGATCTGAGCGGTGCGTCTACACGAAGAGCACACAAGTATCAAAGGCCTGTGCCGCCACCACCTGGCCTATGTGGCCTTTAGAGAGGGAGAAAATACAGATTTTTTTTTTAAGGTAAGCATTAAGTGTTTTATAACAATATAGATAAATAGATAAAATGGAAACATGGAAAAGAAATGTTAACTATAGAAATATGCATATCAAGTTAAATGTACTAGACATGAATCTACGAATCTACTGTCATCACAAACTTAGGAGAATGCCAAAATGGCAAACCCCTTGTTCATAAGAATGGGGCTTGGTGGTATACTTGATGACAGTCTGGCTTGGTGATTGTAGTTCAAATTATTTTCTTTCGGGCTGGAAAGCTCTCACAGACAGCCACACACACTGTGACCCAGGCATGGTAGAACATGCCTGTAGTCCTGAGGCAGGACTGTAGGTTTGAGTCAGAACACAATGCCTGTGTGTACATGTATGACTCCTATTTACTCATGAAAGTTTGTGTCTTACAGGTTACATGCTTTGAGCAAAACCCCAAACGGCCCAGAAGCAGCAGCAGACCAGAAAACCTGATGCGCACAGGACACATAATTTCTACAATTATAATTCAAGCTTTTTTTGTTGAGACAGACAGGTTCCAGTCCTTCTGCTCCTTTGTGCACTTTAAATACATGTATGAATTCAATTCCAAGTAGCATTCCCCTGACTCTCAAATGCTATGACAGACTGACTCATATTTTCAAAGGATGACCAGGAAAGGCAAATTCATTTAGTTGTACAGTGAATGTTTTATACCTTTTATACCGATTGTTTGGAAGGGGTTTGTGTTGTGAATTCAGGGACGCCTCCTAGATTCTAGGGTTACAACCATGACCCAGCTTTAATCTGTCTGTCTTTTTGTTTGGTTTTTCAAAGACAACTCACAAAAGACTAGTAGAGAAACTTTAATTAAATAGTTCTCATATGTACTGTTCCACATTGTGGAAATAAAACTATGCAGAACATTGTGAACAATGGCACAAACACATGTAGACTATGTATGATAAAGCCCCTGTTGTATGTTGCAAGTTTCCAGGAGCTGTTTGAGCATCTGTGGTGCACCGGAATTCCACACTGCTGGTCCCAGGCCTTTGTCAGTGCAGCTGCACTCTGTATGCTCCTATCAACAACTTAACCTAAGGAAGAAAGTGAATGTTAGCAATCACTATTTACCAAAACAATCTCTGTGAGTTCAAAGCCAGCCTTTCTCTATAGTCCAGCTTTCTGTTACATGGGTGGCAGTTTAGTACTCAAGGCAGGACTTGGACTGCTCAGCCTCACACAGGATCAGATACATCAGTGTCGACAACTTGAGCAGTCACCCTGAATAGGAAACAAAGGGGTACCTTGGCAAAGGGTGCTTCCGTCAACCGTATAAACAACTTATTGGGGCCGGCAACAGGACTGAATGAGTAAACAAAGTGACTGTCCTAGAGGGAAAGAGAATAAAGTCAGATAGACTCACATCTGTGATATCTACAAGCCCTATAGAACCTTTTACAGTAAAGAAACCAGTGAACTGAGGGCTTTTCTTTTTAAATTTTCGGATAGGATCTCCCTCACACTGGATGGCTCAGCTTAGGTTAGAGTGTGTTATCTTTTTATCTGCCTTAATGCCCTGAAACATGGTCTCTCCCTGATCCGGCTGGCCAGCCAGTGAACAGCTGACATCTGTCCTCACCCACTACATGCCTGTACATAAAACGTTCTAGTACATTCACCCTCAAGTTTGTCTGTTCTGTAATTTCCTTTGCTTTAAAAAAAAAAATCACATCTCAGCATTTGGGAGGAACAATGCAAGTTCAAAACCTACCAGGACAAAAATATAATGTTCTAATACATCTAAAACTGGAGAAATGGCTTATAGGTTAAAGGCTGCTCTTCCAGAGGTCCCCAGTTCAATTTCCAGCAACCACATGGCGGCTCACAACACACACAAACACAACCTATAGATGGTATAAGCACAGAAGAAATAGGCCTATACTCAATTAACCAAAAGAAAATACACGATAACAAGCATAAACACAACCACTTTGTATTCTGGCTTTATGTAAAGAATTTATTCTCAGAATGTTGGTTCTAGGACATATGCTAGCATTAAAATGATAAGTAAACATTAAATATCTTAAAACTTGGATCGTTTTCTTTTATAATAACTGGGAATTGTCCATGTCTCACTAATACAGGAATGAACGTTTTCCATATGTCAGCGCATCTGTGTGTGGGATGTGTATGTGTGGTATGCACACTCACCAAGGCATTCCAAACACCTGCAGGCATTAAAGACTTTAAAAATGTAAATTAGGTTACCTGGCTTCTGATCACAGTTTTCAATGTACTACAGAAAATCTTACCAGAAAAACAGGAAGTTGAAATTTATCATTTAAAACTACAGCTTGTACACTGCATGGACCACAGAGCCGAGCAATAACTTCTTTCCCCAAAAAGTTTGCATGGAAAATAAAGAGCAGGACACCAGAGCCTGAAGAAGGGAAAGTAGAGAAGATTAATGCAGCGGGTGTGTGTGGTCACCCCTGCTGACAGAGCAGGTCCTCTTGCCTCCTGTACTGAAAGCCCCACTCACACACCTCACTTATACTACAGTGTCAATCCGCAGGACTCCACTTCCCGTCCAGGTAACCCCCAGGAGAGACTTGTGTACGGATTTTTTTCTGCTGAAGTTGGTAGAGAGAGACAGAGTGTGTGTGTTGGCATTTATGTACAAATGAATATCATTTATTTCCTATAAATCTTCAAATGTATGTCAATAGCAATAATCTCATAAATACGACATTTCAATGTAGGTTACAGCAATGCTTTAAAAACAACAAACCCTTTTTATTCTGTGTGTATAGCAGGTGTTTGGAGGCCAAAGGACAACTTTTGGGAGTTGATTTCTACCACGTGGGTTTAGGGATCAAAGTCAGGTCATTAAGTTGGTGGCAGACATCTTTAGGACTGTAGCCATTTTTACACTGAAGCGAAAGAGTTCTAACAGAATAGCCAGAGCTCTATTAGAGAATGCTATCTGCCTTCCCTTGAATGTGCATGGCACGAGCATGGACAGCCCCTAGGAGTGGGTTCTCTTCTGCCTTCTACCATGTAGGTTCTGGTGATTGAAATCAGGTTAGCACAACTTCATATATTCATCTAATATACCTTGATCATATTCCATCATTCTTATTCCCTTCCCCCATCCACCCACCCACCAAACTACTTCCTCCCAATAGGTCTCCTTTTTTTTTTTTTTTGGTTTTTCGAGACAGGGTTTCTCTGTGGCTTTGGAGGCTGTCCTGGAACTCGCTCGGTAGACCAGGCTGGCCTCGAACTCACAGAGATCCGCCTGCCTCTGCCTCCCAAGTGCTGGGATTAAAGGTGTGCGCCACCAATGCCCGGCCCAATAGGTGTCCTATTTTTATTTTTGCTGTTTTTTTGAGTCAGGGTTTCTTTATGTAATAGCTCTGGCTATCCTGGAATTAGTGCTGTAGACCAGACTGGCCTTGAACTCACTCATAGAGATCCACCTGGCTTTGAGTGCTGGGATTAAAGGCATGAGGCACCATCACCGGACAGGACTACTTTTTGTTTTTGATGGTCCACTACATTTAATTATGGTTGCCTGCATAAGCATAGCTGGGTTATTCACTTAAATAAGGTCAGCTTACTAACAGCTCCCCTACTGAGCAGTATGACCCTCCAGGTATATTAACTAACTGCTTTTAGCTCTGTCAATTCCAATGGGAGGGGGATAAGCACTTATATTCCCTCCCCAAGCCAGTCTTCTTAAAAAAGTTAAAGCCAGGTGATGGTTCATGCCTGTAATCCCAGCCCTCAGAAGGCCGAAATAGGAGTATTGGGACAAGACTTATTAAAATACAAACAAGCAAACATTTTTTTTTTCTAGACAGGGTTTCTCTGTATTGCTTTGGAGACTGTCCTGGAACTCGCTTGGTAGACCAGGCTGGTCTCGAACTCACAGACATCTGCCTGCCTCTGCCTCCCGAGTGCTGGGATTAAAGGCGTGCGCCACCAATGCTGGGTGGTAGAGCACATCTTTAATCCCAGCATACACAGGCTGAGGCAGGTGGATCTCTCTGAGTTCAAGGCTAGCTTGACTGCATAGCATGTCCCAGGACAGTCAGAACTTCATAGTGAGACTCTCTCAAAAACACAAAAACAAAGCAGAAAAAAGAAACCCAAGAGGGAACCCAGATATAATAATATTTAGGAGGAAAAAAAAAAGATCCTAGGCTTACACTGTGAAGCTATCTTTTAGTATAACTTAGCAACAACTACAATTGTCAAGAAGCCCGCCTGCATTTTAAAGAGGACTAGGTGGTGGTAAAGAGGGATGGGGAGGCCTCCTGCCAGAGGAGCTCTGCCAGCTGTCACACCGCGGTCAGTGCAGAGACTTCCTCCAAAGGAAAGGGTTGCTTAGGGAATAAACTCGTTTTCACAGCTTCAAACACTCTGAAGGGGAGCTTATGCTTACCGTCTGGTATGTTCTGAGGAGGCTTGTAATTGAAATCTGTTGAGAAATCTGGTCCCTCACAGAGCCGATGACATGCTATTGGGAAAACAGGTTCCAATAGAACAAGGCGGGATTCAAAGTAATCCCTGATTGTTTCTTCTGCAACTCTTGAAAGTCTAGCGAGAGAAGACAGAAGACTGCTTATGTGACAGGTGGGTGTGGTGAGTCACACCTCAAAACTAAGAACACTGATATATGCCATGAGTTTGAGGTGAGCCTGGGTCAGAGTGAGACCCTACCTTTAAAACTTTCAATGTAGACATACTCAACTATTACACTGTATTACATATATTAACAAATTAAAAAAAAAACTTCAGCTTCCCTGATTTGATCATTATACATTGTGTACTATTTCATTATAGCATAACGCTGTATCCGACTGTACAATTAAAGTTTAAAATATGTACCTTATGGATTGGGGATGTGGCTCTGTGGGTAGAGTTGTGGGTAGAGTGCTTGCCTAGCATGCATGAAACCCAGGGTTTGGTCATTAGAAACACATAAATCAAATGTGATGGCATGCATCTATAATCCTGGTACTCAGAAGTCAAAGAAGATCAGAAGGGCAAGGCCAGCCTCAGCTACAGTGAGTCTGAGGCTAGACTGCAGAACATGAGACCCTGCCTTCCCTTTACCCCCTCTACAAAAAGAAACCACCAAAAGATTATTTATGCTGTACAATACCCATAAAGTCTTCCACTAATTTTGCTTTTTAACTTTTTTTTTCTGTGTATCCTTGGCTGTTCTGGAACTCACTCTGTAGACCAGGCTGGCCTTGAACTTAGACATCTGCCTGCCTCTGCCTCCGGAGTGCTGGGATTAAAGGTGTGCACCACCACCACTCTGCTTTACGTTTCAGCTTTTTATTTTTTGAAGTACCTAGGCCCTTGTACATGGCTAAGACAAGTGTTCTACCACTAAGCTCTATCACCTTTTAGAAACGACTTTTCTCATTTTGTGTTGTGTGTTCATGTGTGGGTGTGTGTAGGCAAAAGACAACACTGTGTCATCCTTTATCCTTTGAAGTTCTCTGAATCTGGGACTAACTATCCAGCAGTAGGCCGGCAGCCAGACGCCCACAGTGACCTGCTGTCTCTGTTGTCTCACAGGGCTGTGGTACAGTGTGAATGAGGCCACGCCCCACCCTCCTTGTTCAGTCACAGTAAGCACTCTGAGCAGCGCACTACTTCTCCAGTATCTCCACTTTCTCACTGTATTGCCCAGACTGGCCTTGAACTCATTCTGTAGCTCAAGTAGAGCTTGAACTTGGAATCCTTATGTTTTAGCTGCCAGAGTAGCTGGGATTATACCACACAACCCAGCATCACCTTTGTGAAAAGTAACTACAACTCTGCCCTCACTCAACTAACCTCTTACGACAGTGGCCTTTAAATTTCCTTTTTACCTATCTCTTGTTGGAACACGTGTTGCAAAGAGCAAGTCTGGCACAAAATTTACTTAGCACTTGGCTAATGTATGAATGCAAAATGAGATATGACAGCCCTTCAGTCCCCAGCAAAGGGAGATGGCTGGACACCTCACTGAAGGGTTCTATGCCGTTATCCACGTATTCAAGGAAAAAAGGGATGAGCTGGCTTCCGGGGATTCTTTATGGGAAATGCCAGGACAGGCTGTCAAGGAGATACCAGACAAGATGGAACCCAGCCCCTTGCCTAGAATTTACTTTTTGTTTAGATTACATAGTGTCTAGTTTTCAAACTCAGAAGGCCAGGGGCTATTTCTCCCAGGCTGTCTTACCAGGGACCTGGGTGAGTAATAAGGGCCTCATTCTCTCTACCAGCATTTTTGGCAGGTGTTGCCAAAGAATTTTGTTTTTATGTGGTACTGGGGATGGAATTGCAGGCTTTAGCACATGCTAGGCAAAAGCTCTACCACAGAACCACACCCCAGCCCATCAAAAGAATTCTTCAATGACAAAGACAGAAACTTATAACAAAATACAGTTCAGATGTACTTGAAAAGGTAGAGAGTCGTTGAGGAAGACACAGATGCCAATCCAATCCCTGGTCTCCACAGGTGTGGCGCACACACACACACAGAGGGGGGGGGAGAAAATACTAGACAAATTAAGAGATTAAGAGTAGACATAACTTTTTTGAGGAAAAGTCTAGGCTGGTCACGTACTAGCTATGTAGCCAAGGACTCTTCTTGCACTAGTCTCCTAAAAGCTGTTATTGTAGGCATGTGCCACCATGCTTGGTTTTAACAAGTGCTGAGGACTAAATCCAGGGGTCTCATACTAGGTAAGCACTTTACTGAGTGACACTTCCAGTACTAGATTTAACATTGTACGGACATGTTCCCAGGGTTTTCTAAGAGTTTAGTAACCTGCATAAATATGCACCTAATAAATATGCCAATTACTAAATGCATGACCTACTGAAGAAAGAAGACAATCTTTCTTGAACATTTTCCTCCACAAAGTATTCCAGATATGATGTCTTCAAATGAACACATTTTCTCACTCAGACTTAAGTGTGGCACAGTCACCTGACACTTACGTTTCCAAGTGGCTCTTCAGCAGTTCGTACACAAGCACATTGTTACACTGCTTTGCAAAGTACAATGCACTATTTTGG